AATGTTCCACAAGGTATTTTTGTAAGAGCATCCCATCAACAGTGGTCTCTTGTGGGACCTGAGTAATAGCAGGACATTCTCTACCAAGCAATGGAAACAGTCCTGAATTTAAACTGTGTTTTAAGATGTTATAGCCCCTCACTACCTCACCAAGCGTAATGACATATCCAACTCCACCATGTGAATCACTAAGTGCAATGTTTGAAGTTCACTGGGGAAAATGCTATTACCCTATTTTTGTGTATTACGGCTTTAATGCCTCGTTGCCTTTATGTCCTTTATGTAACTTTTTTATTTTAAGACTCAGTGTTTTTTCTGGCTTTTGACTCTTACCTGACACCAAAGGAGAGCTGCACAAGAATTCCTATATGCCTAGACTGCCTGTTTATGTATAAATGGCAAATAAAAATCTTGACTTTTGACTTGACTACTATCCAAAATATTAAAACCCTTAGGAAAAGTGAAGATTAATCTAAATTCATGTCATTTGTATTGTTATCCTACTATACTGTTTTACAAATAATAGCAATAATATACATATGTTGGATCAAATTTGATTCAAAGATCACCAACATGTAAACCACAAACATGAAGTTAACAAACCATCAAACATGGTTCAAAAAAGCTGGAACTCTTTATAAGGTGTGTGATAATCAGTTCATCATTTATGCCATTTGGAAACAGACTATTGAGTTTTTAAATCCATTTTGCCTCCAGTTTTAACAATGCATTTTCCATATCACCTCCATGGCTTCTTGGATGGATAATATGAATAGCAATACACTTTATATCTTTTTCTGGTTCTTTTCCATAAAATGGCAAGCTATTGGTGACTTAGTATCATACCTCAAATGGGACTAGTGTGTCCAACAAATATTTTATTTAAAAATTACATGAAAAGAGTGTTATCATTTATTCATTATCCCCAAATAACGCACTCCTTACCAATTGGTGACGGTAATACACCAATTCGTTGTTTGCCAACCGCCAATACATCTCAGAAGAAGAAGAACAGCCAATCGTGCTTTGTGTTGTTGATCACCCGGCAGAAACAAAACTAGGTACACAAAAGTAATAGCTACGGTTAGCTATAAAGAAATCGCATTTGAGTTATACCTTATATCACTGGGACAGAAGAGTGACTGTAGGTTAATATTCTTATACGACCTAATTTTTTCAGAAAAGTAGTTAGGATTATAGCGTCGTGGAGCTCCGCGTTTATCTGATTTGTGTTTCCATAGCGGGCATGTTTGTAACATTATTAACACGTAAGCTGACTGTGAAGTCGGTTAAAATATGTAGTTAGACAATATTTTGTTACATAAGCCAGCTAAACGAAATGAACGCTAGCCGTTTAGGTTGGTATTTCTCTCTCTTGATTACAGTTAAAGATGGTGTCTACTGGAGATGTCCAAGGTTGTCTGCGTAAACTGGAAACTCTACTGCGGGTGATCAAGTATCCAGGATGTGTCGACTATAACGGGTAACTTAACCTTACACCATTATACTGCCAGTAACGCTATCATCTGACAACAATTTAATAATAAGACAACACGCTTAAAAGCTCAGTAACGCTACTCAAACTCACATTCACCAGTAACTATAGCCAGTGGTAGAAACACTAATATTTGACTAACTCAGTATTAACGTTAAAAGGTAGTTCAAATAACAGCCAGTATAAAACTTTACATTAATCTAATTTCACCTCAGTAGATTTTGCCTTAAAACTCGTAGGGAACTTTGACAGTGTGACTTGTTAGATGATTAGTCCATACTGTATGTCAGTAGTCAGTCAGTAGGATTCTTGCAAAAAATGAAAGGCGTGTCTAACAAGAGACTTAAAGGCTCTTATGACTTAAATATGTCCTTGTTGCCCTTGTGTAATGCAAAGAAATGCAAATGCACGTGATCCACAGTTAGCCACATTAACCTTTTGTTTCCAAAAGGAATTACAGTTTTATATTTGTTGTCTCATTTTTTCCCTGTTGTGGCTTTACTGACTGTTTCATTAATCTTCCGCATCGAAACCTATCAACAAACAACATCTAGTCCAGATTCATTCAGATGAGCTTGAGACCAAAATTACCTATCCAGTCCTCTGAGATCATAAAGCTGGGTGGTCTTATAAACATTTCTGTATTTCCTCCTGTCTGAGATGAGAGGGGGAAAATTATATTTCAAAATATTAACCTGAGCAAATACAAACCTCAATTCCAATGAAGTTGGGACATTGTGTAAAACGTAAATAAAAACAGAATACAATGACTTGCAAATCCTTTTAGACCCATTTTTAATCGAATACACCACAAAGACCAGATATTTAATGTGCAAACTGATAAACTTTGTTTTCTGCAAATGTATGTCACTTTTGGCTTTTTCCCGTTAGGCGTTGCCAGAGTGAATGTCATAATGATGATTCATATGTTGACATTTGGCACGTGTTTTACGCTGGATGACCTTCCTGACCCAACCCTGACTCGAACCCAGGCTGCAGCGGCATAAGCGCTGCGCCTTAACCACTAATCTATTGGGGAACCTTCATTTTTTGCAAATATTCACTCATTTTGAATTTGATGCCTGCAACACCTTCCAAAAGAGCTGAGACGGGGGCAAACAAACACAAACAAAAGACAACAAAGACTGGGAAAGCTGAGGAATGCTCAAAAAATACTACCTGTTTGGAACATTCCACAGGTGAACAAGTTTATTGGAAACAGCTGAGTGTCATGATAAGGTATAAAAGGAGCATCCCAAAAGGGGAAGAGTCATTCACAAGCAAAGATGGGGCGCGGTTCACCACTTTGAACAAATAGTCCAACAGTTTAAGAGCAACGTTTCTCAACGTACAATTGCAAGGAATTTAGGTATGTCATCATTTACAGTCCATAATATCATCAAAAGATTCAGAGAATCCAGTGAAATCTCTGCACGTAAGTGGCAAGGCCGTAAACCAGTACTGAATGCTCATGACCTTCGATCCCTCAGGCAGCACTGCATTAAAAACAGACATCATTCTGTAAAGGATATTACCATGTGGGCTCAGGAACACTTCAGAAAACCATTGTCAGTTAACACAGTTCGTCGCGACATCTACAAGTGCAAGTTAAAACTCTACCATGCAAAGCGAAAGCCATACATCAACACCCAGAAATGCTGCTACGAAATCTGGGACCGAGCTCATCTGAGATGGACTGATGCAAAGTGGCAAAGTGTGCTGTGGTCTGACGAGTCCATATTTCAAATAGTTTTTGGAAATCATTGACGTTGTGTCCTCTGGGCTAAAGAGGAAAAGATTGTTATCATTGCAAACTTCAAAAGCCAGCATCTGTGATGGTATGGGCGTGTGTTAGTGCCCATGGGTAACCTGCACATCTGTGAAGGCACCATTAATGCTGAAAAGTACATACAGGTTTTGGAGCAAAATATGCTGCCACCCAAGTGACATCTTTTTCAGGGACGTCCCTGCTTATTTCAGCAAGACAGTGCCAATCAGAACAAATTTTAAGTTCCAAAATTATTAAAAGCAGTTTATGCAACATTGGCATTTAGCTCATGTAAATTAATTGTCGCGAATTGAATCCAATCAAAATTGACTTGAATCTAGAGGTCAGGATCAATATCCAGTCATATGGTACAGTACAAAGTAACGTTAAAAATCATTCTTAGATTTGGTAGCTTCTGAATATTAATAGGGGAATGTTAAAAATCATTCTTAGATTTGGTAGCTTCTGAATGTGACTGTCATATTAATAGGGACAACTATTTATAACTGTACAGTATGCAGATGTTATATCAGTCTGTTTTCTCAACTGCAGTTTTTCTCAGTCTTGCACATGGTTTCTCCACCAGCCTTTCCAAAGGAGACCCCTCAGCTTTTCTACCAATAGTGAGCTTCACCCTCACCTCCTTCTCATCCCCTTTTGCTGAGCAACTAATGGCGGCTGGACTGGAGCTGTCTGGCAAAACTGACCTGCGATTCACTGATGTCCTCTATAAGGTACAGTAATGCAGAGACGCATGACAGTTGGGTTTTCTCATGTGCACAAATAGACCTCTTTAACTGTAGGAACCTACCAACCCATAACTAATATTATACCATTTGTCACGGGTTCTGCTTTTGTTTCCACTGCCCCTCTGCCTGCTTTGGAGGCAAGTTCCTGGAGCAAAATTTTGGCACTGCACAGGAGGTGGTATGAAATAAAGTTTCAGGAACGTGTTGGGTGCTTGCACAGCTGTTGCCTGTGATTGGTTAAATGGCGGGGTCCTCATGTCTCACGTATAACATTACATCGATGGTGTGTGAACACACAGTCACTGATTTAGTACTAAAATGGGGACTTCACTCATACTGGTATAGAGGTAAAATGGGAGTTGATGTAAAAGGGGTAAAAATGCAGTGGACCATGTCCGCCTGTACTTGTATGGGAAGCTCCAGGCACCTCAGTGACTATTACACTATTAGTAATGTACAGTGAATTTTTACATCATGCTCACAATTAATCTGCTAGCCTGTAGTGGTCTGTTCAATTGTGTGTGTGTGTTTTCTGTGTCTAGGTTCTGCGAGACATTTTCCAATATAAACCTGTACTGACCAAGCAGCAGTTTCTCCAGTGGGGTTTCGCTCAAAGGAAAATCTCTGTCATCTGTGACATCATTAATTTGGTCCTTCAGAAACATAACCAACTGAAGAAGGTACAAGAGCCTTTTAATGACTTATTTGTGTTGATATGCTTCCATGTATGTCTTTAATGCCTTTGCATAATCATAACATAAAAGGGGGAAAACATTTCTGCCTTTTATAATAGGACAATCTGAGATTTTGGATCTTAAAATCATTTAAATACTCAGTTGACCAGTTCTATTTGGTGACACTAAATTAATGTTACAAACTAAAGTAACTAATAATCATATCAGTCAATGTGCAAAAGCTGCAGTAAACCTCATCTTAACATCTACCCTCCACATCAGGCTAATTAGTAAGTAGGGCTGCAGTAGAAAGGGCTGTCCCATTACCTGTACTGATAACACAATAATTTAATGAACTACATGTTAGAGCTATATTATAAATTACCTGTAACAATTTAAAGCTGTGTACTGCTTTTAAATTACTGAGTATATGATTCAAAAATAAGATTATTTATTGGGTATAAGTAGTGTCATGGTCACAGGTTGTCATTTATCATTACTGAATGGTTGTCAATCTTAAAAGGAAGGGTCTTCGCTAATATGAGCTTGACATAATAAAGTAGCAGAAAAACAACACTTAACAAACAGCAGTTCTGTAAAGATGCCAGTAAAATTGCCAACAGAATCATGTATTTTACAGCCCAGAGTCAGACGTGTGACCTTACACCAGGATGAGAGAGGAGAAACTCATCCAATACTGAGTGATGCAGATTCTGTAAGTATAGTGTACGTGTACAGTGCAATACCACTACCAATAGTATAGAGTATCATATAGTATTTCACACCACTCAGTGGTCCAGATAACACAGTACATGAGGTATAGCTGTGGCTTTGAACATTTTTTAGCATGTGACCTCTAAAATGGAGTAGTGTCTAAAACCCCAGTCACAGAGGTGCATATGCACAGCTCATTCTCATTTCCAGGGCTTCAGATACTGATGCTTTGTTAGTTGCCTTTCATATCTCGTACAGACAGTAATGGGTACCTTTGGCGTCCATAAGAGATGCCCAGGGTTTTCAATAGAGAACAGTGTTAACCCTCGAACGGCAGTATTTGATCCCACATTTATGGACAACATCAGATTTTACTATGAGAGTTTGGTGTGTGACATTGCTTTTTAATCAATGTGTTTTAAATTAAACCACAAGTTTTACCTAAATGTCTCCATGTACTTTTGGTGCCTATACCTAACCACAGAGTTTTAATGGCAAAATCTAAGCATGTAGTTTTAGTGCCTAAAGCCACATTGATTACTGTCATTTTGTGAAGTACCTTTGGCATTTCATACTTACCATTAGTGGGCTAACAGTGTTCTGTAATGAAAACCCTGTGTGTGTCTCACATGGACATCAAAGGTACCCTTTACCGTCAGTATGAGATGCCAAGTATGTGACAAAGCCTCAGTGTTTGACAAACACAACAAACAGTATTTGACATCAAAAAATATTATTCCTTTTTGAGTGGTTTCATTTAATGAACAGAGTGAGTGTGGAGCCTCAAACTACAGATTGTCAGTAGTGCATATTCTATACAATTTAAAGAATAAAATATAAAGTGACTTTTTTGTTTGTTTTTTCAAGAATGCACATGTCTATCTAGAATGTAGTGGTACATGGTCAAAAGCACGTTACAGCTATGTTTATGAAATATACAGAAACTTCAACCAGGAGGTCAAGAGGCGTTAGCACCCCTAATAATTAGTCTTATAGGAAGGTGCTGACTGTTGACAGTAAGGTGTGATGAGTCAGACAGGTGAATGATTAGGTATATGAATCAATTAATAATAATAATATGCGATTTTATGCTGTTTCAGGTGTCCGAGAGGCTGAATGATGTAAACTGCATAGAAACTCCTTCCACCTTTCCCACAAACTCCTCTAATAATGAAGTATACTCCTCCAGTTCTCTTGAAAATGGGACCATGGAGCTGACAGGAAGGAATGAGGATAAGGATAACCTTCTTCATGTAAATAATGACAAATTAGTATACAGACTAAGCAATTCTTATAATTGATTTGGTAGTTAATAGATTCAGTATAGTAAATATTCAGACCAGCTTGCCAATAGTAGTGACAAGATTTAAGTAAAAAAGGACTGTGGTTATTACCACTTTCAGAAAGATGGATATACTGGGGATTATTTTACTGTATGTGTGTTTAACCATTAGTAAAGAGGGTGTTAGTAGAAACTGATATGTTTATACACTGCTCAAAAAAATAAAGGGAACACATCAGATCTAGGATGTCTTATGTTGTGTTCCCTTTATTTTTTTGAGCAGTATAGTTAAAGTCCCTTTGCAGTTTTCACCATAACATAGATTCTGCAGTGATTCTCTCTGTGTATTGATTTTTGCCACGACAATGTGCTGCAGGCCTTGCCACATCTGTCCGGAGTCAGCAGTAGAATAGAAGCCATTCAGCTTCTCCCTGTACTGCCTCTTGGCTCCTGTGATGGCTTTCCTCAGTCCATACTTTGCAGCTTTGTACTCGGTCTCATTGACTGAACTGAATGCATGAGAGTGAGCACGTAGCATGTGGCGTACCTGACCAAGGCCTCTGGTTGGGAAACTTCCTGACCTGTACAGTGGGCACGATGTTGTCAACACAAGTGCTGTATGCTGACAGAAAAGTCCTCCAAGGTAGCTGTAGCTTTAAACACATCACAGTCTGTCCTGGCAAAACAGTCCTGCAGGATGCCTTCAGTCTCGGGGGTCCAGAGTTTAACTTGTTTTGTGACAGGTTTTTTTTTTGTTTCAGTCTTTGTAAGCTGGATACAGGAACAAAGAAATGTGGTCCGAGTGTCCGAAGTGGGGGCGGGGTGCAACCCTGTATGTACCCCGTATGTTACTGTAAACATGATCCAGTGTTCTTGTCCTGGGTGGGAATGTCTACATATTGGTAGTATTTGGGGAGTACAGTCTGTGGATTGCACTGGTTAAAGTCACCAGTGATGATAAAAACAGCATCAGGATGGGCAGTCTCTAACGTGCTGATGACATCGTGGAGTTTGCCAAGAGCTGCCAAGGAATTAGCTCTTGGTGCTAAATACTGTATATTCCAGCCAGGATCACTGCTGAATTATTTTGGTACTGTAAACAGTACCAAAAGACTGACGTGACAATTGTGCATTGCACAAAAAGCAGAAAACACACGAAAGAGAAAAAAAAAGCCGGTATTCAAGAGCAGAACCAGCAAACACGTCTGCCTCAGTCGGCACCATGATTAACATTTAATGTTTTTTTTCTTGCATGTAACAGCACAGACATTTCAGGTATGCCATTTTCAGTGTGCAGAAGTCATTTAGCTTTCTAGTTGAGTCACTTTCACTTTTCAGACATGCACTGAACCCTGAAATTATCTAGACGTTACCTGGAGGAGCTGTATGTAAGAATGCAAATGTCTGAGTCATAAGCATAAGCATAAACTTCAGTGCCAAGTATTATCAAAAATACAAGCAATCTGACTCCAGCCCAACAGCCCCTGATGTGCACAACAATAAAAACAGAATAAATACAGAATATACAGGGTTATTCAAAAAGAATGAACTGATTTCATTACGCATTGCTTCAGTTCTCAAGCATCGTCATGGAATGAGTCAGTGACCATTTGACAGAGGAGTTATCTAAGTTGATTGTGAGTAGAATATGTGTGGCTTGGCTGGAGTTTTGTATTACTTTTCCTAAATAAAATATTGCGTAATGAAATCGGTTCATTCTTTTTGAATAACCCTGTATACAAGTTAAAAGAGTCAGTTCACCCAGTTGGCATTAAGCATATCCAGGGTAGCTGCGGGTCCTTAAAAAGTCTTAAAATATCTTAAATACAGTTTTACTAATAAAAGGCCTTGAAAAGTATTACATTGTCTTACATTCAGATTGGATGGGTCTAAAATGTTTTTTAGTCACTTCACTGCATGGATTTCTCTTGTCTGCCACACCAAAGCTGACCAAAGGAGAAGAATTGCTTATTATTTGTAAGAATTGTTAATAATGCAGTTTAGCTGGGCTCCAGACTGCGAGCAATCAGTCACATTTTGTGGCTACATTTATTTTTCAAAGGGTGCACTGGGTGCGACCACAAAATGAACAGATTATGCATGAACGACTGCTCTCACTGTAGAAATTGTGGACAAATGTAACAATCTCTGTGATACTGTCATCGCAACATTTCTGTCATGTGCCAGTTTCATGGGCAGAAACTTCTAAAATATCAAACGTGCCAATCCACACTGACTCCGAGACACACACATCATCCCTGGACCCTTTGGTTACACTTTGAGTCTATTTTTTTCTTTCGTGCATTTGAAGTCACAGACTGCTGTTCAATCAGGTAGATCACCTGTTAGTGTATTTATGTGTTGGAAACTTTAATTAATAACCTACATGAAGATGATTTTTGTCCACTAGATTTCTGCTGTTGGTCAGCGTGGTGAAGCTTGTGCTGTCCTCCTGCTGACAGACAGCTGTTCTGACTAGAGACGCTGCACAGAGGTCTGAGTCAGCGTGGACTGAACAGATCAAAGTTGCGCATATACCACTCACATTTAGTGAAGTCCCGGTTTAAAGATGATAGTGGCTAAAACAAACCGTCTAGTCCTTTTTTATGTAGTAGCCCTAAAATGAGCTGGAACTAGCCAGGCGAGTGAGAGAGGGGAACTGTGCATGAAGTCCAACACAGACAGTGCCAAAGAACAGAAATTCTTCTTCAGAAATATAATGGGCTACAAATAAATCATGTACACATACGGCAAAGCAGGTGCGCAATTCATCTGTTATACGTCAGTTGAAATATAATCACCTAATCATCTTCATCATCATAGTTATAATCAGTGTCATCGTTATCATCAGACTACTAGGCTGTAGAGCACTAAAATGACTAGCCTAAAAAAGAGAGGTGGAAACTTGTTCTGGAAGTGATTTTCCCATTTACTGTGATACATAAGTGATACACTCTCTCTTAATTTCATTATATACAGTATTTAAGCTATGCACATTGGATGGTAAGGGTATTTAAAATAATTTGCAAAAAATACAGATTCTTTTACATTATGTTGTAAAACAGAGGTGGTGCCACCAAAATCTGGCACTGGTGCCATCAAGTCCCTCAGCCCCATATGAAATATTAATCTGTTTAGGATAATTATGGTTTTTGTGTTCTCACAAACACATCTGGACAATGCTATTTTTTTCCAGACAAGGCCATCTTTTTTTGACAATTTTTGTAAAAAATTTTTTTACATTACTTTTCATTTTGAACTGACATCAGTGTGTTTACTTTAAAAGAGGACATTTTTACTTTTGGTATTTCCATTGCAAGTTTGGTCTTAAATTTAATTTAAAGTGAAATTAAAATGGTCTTAAGTTTAATTTGTGTATAGCTGTTGACAAACTGAGATTTTTACCTTGCCAGCTCCCTAGTACAAAGTCCCTCACATGCAAACTCCACAGAGAAATCTTGGTTGGCTGGGACTCGAACCCAGAACCTTCTTGCTGTGAGGCGGCAGCACTAACCACTGTGCTGCCCACACATAAACCACACAGTGCATTTCCAGTAGGTGAGAATGTGCCTGACACAGACTGTCTCCTGTTGTGTGTTACATGTGTGAAAGGGCAACTCTGGACAATGTCCAGGCCTAATTGCATGGGCATTGTCCAGAGTTCATATGTGAAAATGGCAATAGGGTTTCAATCAAATCATTACTGACAGGTGTGCCAAATAGTTACTTGAAATAACTATGTGTCAGAAGATCTGCCTGTCTAGAAAGGTGTGCCAAATAGTTACTTGAAATAACCATGTGTCAGAAGATCTGCCTGTCAGGATCTTCTAAAGACTACCTACTAGATGTAATCTAGTCATCCAGCCACACAATCTCATACACAGAACTACATCCAAAGTAAACAGAAGTTACAAATCATTATTTTATATGGTACATAACAATGAAAACAGCAGGCAAACCCATCATAAATCATTGTAGTGCAAAACTAAATACTAAGGACATTAAAGAAATGTTAAAACCTTAAAAGGCCATAAGTTCTGAGACCCACTGGATTCACCTCAGATCTCAAACACATCCCCAGTATTACATATATAACTGTAATTTATGCCTTTCAGTGGTCAGAAGTGGAAGGAAGGCTGTCAGCACTGGAAGCTCAAGTACAGGGCCTTGCATCTGGGTTGGACAGGCTCAGCAGTACCCTGGAGAAATGTGTGGTGGAACTAGCGAGAAGGAGAAACACAGACAAGGTCGGTAAGACATACTCTACACCTTTAAAGTGCCCATAGCATGCTCATTTTGCTTGTTTCCAGCCATTTAATGTTTAACTTGGGTACCTATAGATTAGCTTGGCATCCCTCATAACTCCAAATAGTCTGTAATTACTGTATTTCAGAATGATAAAACCAGAGAGCCTCTTCCTGCTGCTGGTGTTGTCGCAAGTGAATGTCAACAAACCATGACGGCATTAATTAATTTGAATTTTTCCTCCATAGATACGTAGGTAAACAACGGTATATGTACCAATGAAAAGAGATGTGTAACACTCCAAACAAAGCTTTAAACCCCATATTTACACTGGCATAATGCAGACATAGTAACTTCTCCAGCCTTACAACAATTCTCGTTAATGTTACAGAAACAAGGCATTAACAGACATGCAGCATCTCTTTTTAAATTTACCATTAAGTCCCACCAAGTAGTGGAAACATCACTCCCTTTCAAGTAGCGCCAAGGTCGGTAAATCCAACCAGTGGTTGCTGCATCTTCCCCAGCATGACCACACACAGTCCCAGAGTAATGAAATTAATTCCAATGTGTACCATAGTGCCGAAAGTAACATCATGAGTCATTAATCCTCTCAGCAACACATCACATGTAGCAGACACACTGGCCTAGGGGGCTTCACAGGCCAGCTGCTTGTAGGTTAGACCCAGTCAGGTAAAACAGCGAGTCCCAGTACAGGAACATTCCCGGGCATGCAGTAACCTCAGACCCTGTGTTTTTCTCCACATATTCTGGTCACAGTGCAGCAGCAGAAGGGAAAATAGATCCACAAAGCCACTGCAGTCGAAAAATTCCGCATTTATAATAGCACCCGTGGATGTCAGGCAAGCTCACATGAATGCACAACTGCCTGGAGATTATGACCATTCAAAGAAATCCTTGAACTATCACATGATACTTTTTGTTCGAAAAAAAGTCTCATGAGCGAGAATTTGCGAGATGTGTATTAACCGAGTTGCTTCTGCATAGAAGTACTGGAAAATACAGTGCTGTGAAACAGTATTTGTCCCCTTCCTGGTTTCTTATTTTCTGGCATATATGTCACACAGATCGTCAAACAAATTTAAATATTCGACAAAGATAACCCAAGTAAACACAAAATGCAGTTTTTAAGTGATGACTTTATTTATTAAGGGAAAAAAGCTATCCAAACCTACGTGGCCTTGTGTGAAAAAGTAATTGCGCCCCCTTGTTAAATCATGAATTTACTCTGGTTAATCACATTTTTTGGAAAGCTGAGTTCAGTTTCAGTAGTGACACCCAGGCCTGACTACTGCCAGACCTGTTGAATCAAGAAATCACTTGAATAGAACCTGTCTGACAAAGTGAAGTAGGCCAAAAGATCTCAAAAAGCAAGAAATCATGCCACGATCCAAAGAAATTCAGGAACACATGAGAAACAAAGTAATTGACATCTATCAGTCTGGAAAGGGTTACAGAGTCATTTCTAAAGCTTTGGGACTCCAGCGAACCACAGTGAGAGCCATTAGCCACAAATGGAGAAAATATGGAACAGTGGTGAACCTCCCCAGGAGTGGCCGGCCTACAAAAATTACCCCAAGAGCACAGCAGCGACTCATCCAAGAGGTCACAAAAGAACCCACAACAACATCTTAAAGAACTGCAGGCCTCACTTGCCTCAGTTGAGGTCAGTGTTCATGACTCAACCATAAGAAACAGAATGGGCAAAAATGGCATCCAAGGCGAAAACCACGGCTGACCAAAAATGACATAAAGGCGTGTCTCACTTTTGCCAAAGAACATCTTGATGATCCCCAAGAGTTTTGGGAAAATATTCTGTGGACTGACGAGACAAAAGTTGAACTGTTTGGAAGGTGTGCGTCCTGCTACATCTGGCGTAAAAGTAACACAGCAGTTCAGAGAAAGAACATCATACCAACAGTCAAATATCGTCGTGGTAGTGTGATGGTCTGGGGCTGCTTTGCTGCTTCAGGACCTGGACGACTTGCTATGATTGATGGAACCATGAATTCTGCTCTCTACCAAAAAATCCTGAATGACAATGTCTCACCATCAGTTCGTGACCTCAAGCGCACTTGGGTTCTGCAGCAGGACAATGATCCAAAACACACCAGCAAGTCCACCCCTGAATGGCTTAAAAAACAAAATAAAGGTTTTGGAGTGGCCTAGTCAAAGTCTGGACTTGAATCCAATTAAGATGCTGTGGCATGACCTTAAAAAGGCAGTTCATGCTCAAGAACCTTCCAATGTGGCTGAATTAAAACAATTCTGCAGAGAAGAGTGGGCCAAAATTCCTCCACAGCTTGACTGCAGTTGTTGCTGTTATTAGATTTGATTTTTTGATTTGATTTGATTTATTCTTTCAAGCATGTAAAGACAGTTTATATGTCAACACACATAATTTTACACATATCCAACAAATAATAATCCAATATCAATTTGCTTATACCTAGTACATGCTTGAATGGAGTAGGAAGAAGTCAGACTTATCCAGTCCTACCCCATGACATCATCTTACATCATTGGTTTGCAAGCAGTAACTCTACATAAATAATTCTCTTCTACACCACACAAGTAATATACTAAAAAATTATAACAGAGTGTTAACATTCTTACATAATTACATTCTTAAATAATTATCTTCTACACCACACAAGTAATATACTAAAGAATTATTACAGAGTATTAACATTCTTACCCCACACCTACAATGTTCCATCTAATTATTCATTAAGCCTGTTCTTGCATATATCTTGATTGACACATACCTTTATATTTATGTTTAAACTTGTCAATTCTATTACTATTTTTTATGTCCACACTTAAATTATTCCATAGTTTTACCCCACTTATAGAAATACAAAATCTTTTTTTGGTTGTACGTATAGCATGAATTTTTAAATTTAACTGACCCCTTAAATTGTATCCCCCTTCCCTTT